GTGTGTGTGTGTGTGTGCACGTGGTGGGTGGCGGGGAGGTGGGGCGACTCCTCCCCCACCACCAATCAATCAATCAATCAATCAAACCCTTTTTTTATTTTATTTTTTATTTTGCATCTGCATTTTTTCAAAACACCTCATACTTCTGCAAAAAACATAAATTCTTTTCTAAAAAAATACAGGTAAACTCACGGACCATATATCTCATGATAAAAAATGACCAAAAAAAATTCCTGCTTTTCTTTATTTTTTTATTTTTAATTTTCTTTAAATCCAATCTCGTTTTTGATTTTTTAAAAATCCTAAACAAAGTCGGCTTAAAATTCCCTACAACCCCATATATATATATATTTGTTTTTCCTATTATTTAATTCAGGAAACTTCGTGTAAAATCGGGTCCGCGGTGCGGACCAGGTAGGCCACGGATGCGGACCCATTTGGGTCCGCGATCCGAGCTCGACCCCGCGGACGCGTCCGCGGGTGTTTCATAGGCTGTTTGGATGCAGTTATGGAGTCAAGCGCAGAAATGTCAGATGCAGATGTTACACGTAGTCAACCAGGCAATAGTACTGAGCTCAGATTTTTCTTTCTTTCTGGCTTAATTATCCCTGTGGATGCTCATCATCATACTTGCACTGCCTGGTACTTGCGATCTGACATGCCACATAGCCACTACCCACATCGATTTACAATCCCCTGGTGTTCTACACAGCCTACCTATCAAGAGGGGTAGGAGAAAACTCTAACTCTACCTACAGAACGCTGACCACCCAACCTGACGTGACCAGATCTTGACACACTGCATTCGGACCATCCAGACTCTGACGACTCAGACTCTGACACACTATGATGATCCAGATCCAGACCCGACTTCCAGACCAGCAGCAGTCACCTTCAGAGGGGAAGCGAGAGAAGGTAGGGGACACACGCATGCATGCAGGTTAGGGGCAGGTGGTGCTTCTCTCTTGTTGAAGATACCGCCGATGACGCTCCTCGATGCTCCGCACGCTCCAGGTAAGTACACTCACCCCTTCTTCTTCGGCCTGCTCCCCCTACTAACAAAACACTTCTTCTCCTCCTCCCTTCCTCCACTAATCCTCCATCACCACATCTTCAACACCCTTTCTTCTCGCCGGCCTTGATCATGCCAGCGCTATGAGTGCAACGAGCTCCGATACCAAAATTTGCATGGGTCCTGGGGACCATCTCACGCAAGAGTGTTCACAGCATGCATCATCATTATTCACAATGAACTGAAGTCTTCACTCATTAGACAAAGATAGGTAAGAAGAGAACCGAGTTGCGCAGCTTATATTATCAAAAGCATGATTACAAAGTGTATCATAGTTCCCTGAGTTCAGGCGCTCAAAAGCGCAATACAAATCTCTCATCTAAGTCATCAATGTGGCTTCTCCACATCAGCGCCACCTCTGCAGATTGTATCCAACTCGTCAATGTGGCCTCTACACATCAGCGCCACCTCTGCAGATCATATCCAACTCAGGTAAGTATTCAMCATAGCCGAACCTTGCTTGCACASTTCYGTCTCAGTTCCTTCTTCCTACTGTACATGCACACTCTCKTCTMTCAAGGATCTACTCTGAATGCTACTCATAGAAGACTACTACTAACCCTCTAAGTCTAACACTAACTCGCTGGGCAGCTATGGCTGCATCTCTTCCCAGCGCCCAACCTGCTTCCTTCACCTAGCGCATCTTCATCCTCCAGTGCTGCTCCTCCTGGCTGGCGCACAAGTGCTTCAGCACTTCCACGCGCAGAATGCCAGTAGAGATCTGGCGTTGAATGAGGCTGGCTGCTTTCTTTATAGCGCTGGCCTCCTCACGCTGGGTCTGCATTGGCTCATTCAGGCCTTCCTTTGTCCCAGACCCTGCATTGCATGTGTCCCTGTACTGTCCCAATGAAGTTCATTGCTGCTGAGGTCTTTCGGCCGGGATTTTGGATTTGGACGTCTGGATCTGGACAGTTTCTCGGACTTAGACCAGAACTGGGACTCTGTTTATTGACTTACTTTCGAACAGGCACAACTTTGGACGAACAGACACACTTACTGCCTGAACAGACATCCACACTGTGTGAATAGACACTCTCTTTCTGCACGAACAGACACACTGACTGCACGTACAGACACATCCTTATCTGAACAGACATGACATGTGCATCTCCTGGCGAACAGGTATGTCCTTCAGTAATGACCTTTGGCACTGACTTCTTGCTTAAATTTAGATGTGCCATTTGACAGAGAACTTGACCTTTGATCTGCTTTCACGTTTTCCTGGGTCCTGCCCAGATACCCCTTCACGCAGCTTTACTTTTACAAGGCCTGTATCGGATAAAGGCCCTTTTAATCTCAAGAGGTTTTAATCTTTGCAGTGCGCTGATTGACTCAGGAAGTTTTCCGCGATTTTCTGAGTTTGTCAACCCCAAATCCTGAAGATTCTTAAAGCAAGAGATTGAGTCTGGAAGATACACTGGGATTCTTCGAGCTCTGAAAAGTGGTTGGCAGAAGTTCTTCAAAGACTTTGCTCTTAAACCAGTTGGTGGAATATGTTTCCAAAGAAAGTATCCTGTAGTCTGCACCCACCACGCCACCTCCAGGTCTGGCATGTCCCATTTGGGAATATCAAATGGTTCGGAGTACTCCATAGTAATGAAAGCCATAAACTTTGCCTTGACTTGCCTAGCACCAGTGGGAAATTTTTGTGGTTCTCTCACATCATCACTTGACAGAAACAACCTCTGAAGGCTTGATACCTCACCGCCTTCCCCGATGATCCGCATTGCCAGATCTCGAAGCACATCATGGACAGTGCAGTAACCCAACGTGGAAAAACAACCTCTAAAGTGCCCATGAATAGAAATCTCATCACGATCTCTCCATGTCACGAGTGACCGTAGGCTCAGCTGATGTAAGAGCAATGCTGCTTGTCCGACATCTCCAATACGAGGATCAGTTGCCCACAATTCCAGATGTGGCTCCACATCTATCTGACAATCATCCGGGTAGGCCGCCAAGTCCAAGAACATGACCTTCAGGACATCCGATAGGTCGTTAAAACTTGCTCTAAGTGTGGCCATCAGTGTACCTTCAACTGGAAAGCTTTTATCAAATGGGGTGGCACTTCTCAGTTTGGATAGGATGTGCTCCAAATCTTCAGTTCCCTTTCCTTGCATGGATGACCCGATTACCCGCAAAGCTAGGGGTAGGCCCTTGCACTCATCGCAAATATCCAACACAACAGACCTGTTGAGATGGGATGGCACCTCTTGGGTGCCAAATGCATGTCCGCAAAGAAGTTTAAGTGCATCCTCCTTACCCAGCAAGTTCAGACTGTGCTCGTGAACTCCTGGCACAGCCACTACCTCTGCATTTCGTGTTGTAATGAGAAGACGCGCATCTCCAACAAGTATGTCATGAATCCACTGAATGCTCTCCTTCCTCCAAACGTCATCGACAACCAGCAGCATCCGTCTTCCACGAATCACTTTTGCAAATGCTGCAACCCCACCAGCAAAGTCTTCCACAGGGAGGTCTTCGCCTGATGTCACTTGTTTATACAAGCTTCTCAACACCTGCTCGGGACAGGAGGAGTACCTATCGAAGCCAACCACTTGCCAGAACACGCCATCCTTAAAATGGCTCCGTATTTCACGATCGTTGTTAACAAGCATCGCCAATGTTGTTTTCCCAATCCCTCCCATACCAACCACACCTAGTGCTTCTCCCCTATTGATCGTAGGATCAATGGAGACGTCCACACTACCTCGACTTGTTTCCGCACTTTCTTCAGCGATTCTCATGGATTCGCTCGTGCTTGAGCCCATGAGCAATGCCTCCACCGTGTCTGCATTCTCCCCCATACCGTCAACACCAAGGGCTTCTCCCGTACCGAGTCCAGCATCAGCTGATGCCTCCGCACTCGCTGGAATCTCTTTCGCACTTCTTCCAACTATTCCCACACAGTTTTTCCTGTTAGTAGCACCCATGAGCAATGCCTTCACTGTCTTCAAATGATAATCCAACCCATACGTTTGCCTGGGAGTGTGGCGATCATGCCATTTTACAGGCTTGTTGACTTGGCATGTCTGTTGTGTTTGTAATGATGAGCAGCCATGGAGTGTCTCGTCCTGTACAATTTAAAAAAAAGGCTTACCCAATCCAGCTCAGTGATACAATGAATGCGTGTCTACCAATGAGTTTGACAGTTTGAGCTCCACAATCAGACACATTGGGAAAGAAACATCACAACCATATTCTTCCTATGTATAACTCCCATTCATCTGATTGAGCGGCCGCTCAAATGAAACAATGTTTGCCCGCAATATTTTTGTGCCCCTCCCCTGACCAAAAAAAAGGACACAGGTTATGAGGGGTTCCACAGGCTTATGGTCTACCCCTTATTTTTTGTGCAATTTTGTGCAATTTTGTGCAATTTTGTGCAATTTGTTTAGGGATATTGAAAAAAAGAAAAAAAAAAGTACATTTTGATGATTTTGTGCAATTTTGTACACCATATTATTTTCATGGTTTTTTCGTTGGTTAAACACAAATCGAAATTCTAGGAAAAATCACAAAGCCCAATGTCTCTGCCATAAAAAAATGTTCCTATTCTCTTTTGTATTTTATTTTCCCGAGTTTGGCAAAATTGAAATCCCAGCAGGTGATGCTCCTTTTTTTTTATTTTTAACCCAGAACTGCCTGACTAGGGGGGGTTGATGCTCCTATTGAATAGAATGGAGCATTAATGCTGAGAAAAAGAAAAAAAGGAGAACAGATCCCAGATATTCAATACCCCGAAAACAACGTAGGTACCTGAAGAAAAAAACAACGATGCATGTGCGCTTGTGTGCGGGTGCATTTGCGTGTGTGTGTGTGTGTGTGTGTGTGTGTGTGTGTGTGTGTGTGTGTGTGCACTCGCTATTGACTGATTGAGTGAGTGAGTGAGTGACTAATGATTGATTGGTTGATGGATTGATTCATTTTTTGATTGATCAACAAAGAAGGAAAAAGAAATAAAAAAAAGAAAAGAACAGCACGGAAGAGGAAAACAGGGGTAAGGAAGCCCCTCCCCCTCCCAAGCCCAACCCTACTACTGACCACCGCCGATTAGGGCCGGGGGCAACATGCATACCCTTAATTGTGAGTGGAGGCAATGCTTGCAGGGGTCCCCTGTATAGGCATAGTAGTAGTAGCAGTAGTAGTTAGATAGTGAAAGTTGAAATTGAGAGAAGAATACCCACCCGAACGTTCGGGGGGCCCTCCAAACCCCCCACCCCCCCACACCCCCCCACACCCCCCCAACGTTCGGGGGCCGAACTTCCCGCCAAAAGTTATTTCGGGACCTAAAAAATTTTAGTCTTTTCTGCAATTTTCTTGGTGACTTCTGTAGCATGTAGGCTACATGCATATAAACTTTTAAGGCATTTAGCTAATCCCAAAAAAAAGAAAAATCGCCAACGGTGGTGATGTAAAAAATGTGCTCTACCACGCACTATTTTTTTTGCTATTTTCCATTTTACTTTTCTTTTTCCCTAAACCTTTTTAATGTGTGCGTGTGTGTGCCTGTGTCTGTGTGTGTGTGTGTGTGTGTGTGTCTGTGTGTGTGTGTGTGTGTGTGAGAGAGAGAGAGAGAGAGAGAGAGAGAGAGAGAGAGAGAGACCCACCAATGTGGTTGATCTTCCAAATCTTGACTGATTGGGCTCTGTTCCTTGTTAAATATATACTTGACACAAGTTGACACAAAAGCAAATCAAATTGAAAGAGGAGAGTTGGAGGAAACAAAATCATGTTGTTTTGTGTTCTTTTTTCATTCTTCATCGTGCAGGAGGCAGTGCACTTGCTGAAGTGCGATCGAATCTTGGTGCAATTATGAAACTATTACCAGTTCAAGGATGGGAACCGGCTGGATACCGATTGGACACGTACCTACCCTTTCCTGAAGAAAAGGGAAGCAATTTTGGTGGAGTTCGAGAAGCAGGGAATGGATGACGCGTTGTGGAACGGGAGCAGGAAGCTCGTTGGCGATGCCTCGCTATTCAAGGATTGCCCGCCGTACATGGGGTGCGAGGATGACAAGACGATTGCGGCGACGGAAAAACTCGCCCTCAACAAGAAGTTGTCCGCCGACTGGAAGAACAAGGTCCTCTCCGTGTTCACCGGCAATAGGGCGAAGAATATGGAGATTGCGTTTGGTGAAGGTGTGGTGCACATTCCTTGGAAAGACTCGTGGGACGTGACATCGATCGCCTCGTTCGGCGTTGACCCTCTCGAGGCGCAGATGAGGGTCACAAAGTTGGAGACAGTGGTTGGAACCACCAAACGCCACACGTGTGTTCTCGATATGTGTGAGCCAGTGGACTTTAAACAGTGGACGCCGAAAGCTTTCAAGAATTTGAATTCCCTTATTGTTTCCGTCATACTGGACGGTCGTCGCTTTCGTCCCTCGGCGGTGAACTGCCATTTCGTCAAAATGGACATCTTTTATTTTTTGAACGAAATTGAAACCGAGGTTTTTTGATAAAAACTCGTCAAAATTTGTTGTTCTTGAGGGTCCAGCGTTTTACAAACGCTGGACCCCCTGGCTGTACATGGACCTAGCTTGAGACCAGGCACCTCTAGACAGTCCTTGGGAAGCCGCACGCGCGAGCCGTGTGGGAGGTTTTGAAAAGCGGTCGACACGTGGTCGCGGTGGAAGGGAATTCCGAGTTGTTACAATACACGTTGGAGTTTATCAAAAGCGAGGTCAACTCTGGGGCCAACCGCTGCGAGTTCATTTCGAGGAGCGAGAAACCGAGACGCGTTTGGGAACCGTCTACGGAGATGTGGTTCAAGTCGACCCAACTTGACCGAGCGGAGGAGGAATAGGATCTACGACTTCCTCTTTTTGGAAACGCAGCCCAGGAGGGACAGCGACGCTGAGTAATGTGCCGCAAGGACCACATGTTGGCGTTGCTGGACAACTACCACAACGCCTCACGCAGGAACGCGAAAAACTTCATCGACTGGCTGGAATGTTTGTATTTCGTCGAGTCCGAGCAGCACCTTAAGGTGGAGAGTTATGGTGCGTTGATCTCCACGGAAAACAATCTGGAGTCAGGTGTTGTGTTCGACACCGCTACTCTGGAGGAGGAGAGCGACACCGAGGACATCGACCTCGATTACCACCCTGCTCCGTTGCTTCATGCACCAGGCTCCTCGTCGGCCGCTCCCTCAACAAGCCAGGTCACCCAGGTGTCACCTGTGCCCAGGTCCGCCCTGGGTAAGACCCCGAGCAAGCTGGCGGCGAGACTGACGTCTCGGGCTGCCGCCCCGCCTCCATTGCGTTCGGGGAGTTCGGTTCCACTGCATCATCCTTCTCGCAAGGATGACACCATTCACTTCGAAGGGCTGGACCACACTCGATCGACTGAGGCGGATTGTGGCCACGACATGATTTGGCACCCGGGAACTATTCAGCCGGCAATCCAGAAGGGCGAGTGGATCATGGCCCTCATCAACAACCAAGGGCTGTGGGAGCCATACCTGCGTCAGTCCAAGGCCAAGTAACTGGAACTTGCGAGGAGTTCGGTGGTCGATAAAGTGATGTCCGAAAATTCCAACCTTTAACCGGTTCCACTGCTGAACGTTTGTTTCAAGAACTTCAAGACAAGCAGTGGTTGGAACTCTCGGACAAATTCTACGACCTAGACACGAGCCCTTCGAAGGGACGGGTGGACTGGAAGGTTCCCCCTGCGACTGGGGCACCGGGGAGCTCGGGGGGCGGAGGGGGGGGAGGCGCAGGTGG